AACCACCTGGCCATGCCGGGCCGTTTTTTTATGTTTTAATAAATGTTTAAAATAAGGAATAGTAGTTACAGGTTGTGGTTACTCAGATTTTTTTTTATAACATTCCATAAAACTGAGAGAAAATCTTAACTGCAGGTGGTTTTGTTACGTGCTCATTTTCCCTACTTTCCCTTTCTATTAAAGAAATAAAATCTGTATGATGCATAAAAGGATAAAAGGTATAAAGTCAAACTATGTTTCCATTATATAAATTACTAGTTTGTTTTAAGCATACTTGTTAACTTCACCTAGCTTGACAACCTCACAAAACAAGTCACTAAAAGAAAAAAAAATTGGAATTTACCAAATTTTACAAATAAATATCAACCTCATCCTGGTAGGAACCTGCTATTGAATCTTGGATTTTATTGTATAAAAAAACCCATCAAAACTAGGGAAAATTATAAGTTAGTCAATCACGGTGATTCTCACTTATGGCTTTTCAGGCATCATTTCTGGTCGTAATGTTCAAATACATTTTTGGCCAGAGTTAAGGATTAAATGGTAAGTAGTTTTGTTAATACTAACATTGGAGTAGGCTTGAGAATTAACCATAATGTAAAACTTTTCATTAACCAAATATATACTGTAATAACATTATCTGTCTTGTAAGATACTGTAATAATATTATCTCTCTCTTGTTCTCTGAAGGAATTTTTCAAACATTGACAGGTATGAATCAAAACATTATTGCTGATGTACAATATGTTTATTTCATACCATGATTTTATAGTCTAACGAACAGTTAGTTACAATGTGATACATACATGATCGTTACATCAGTCTTGGCAGTTTCCACAAGATAAATATTATACTTTCCACAACTTCCTGTTATTTTCAGAGATTTTTTATTTATGATGGTGATCATCTTTAAGTTACAAATGGCATCTCTATCTAGTGTCCATGATGTTATCAGCACATTAAAGAATTTTTAATGGACTGTCTACCTATTATGCAAAGTTTAATAACAGTATTTTAATTATCATTTCCAGACAGGCTATCATATGTTTTATATTTCTAAACAATAAATTTTCTTCTTTTGAAAATATAAAGTGTTTATTTATTACACTCATCCAGTTTTTCTTTCAGTAAATACATAACATTATTAATTTGAGTGGAGACTGTAATACGTCCACGAGAACCTCACATTTCAACTAGCAGTTTTTAGAAATCGTAACTCAGAAAACGAACTACTTGTGCATAAAGTAGAACTGTGGACATTTTGTCAGATCTTCATTATCAGTCTTACCATTAGCACATCTCCTCCACCAAGAATCAGTGGCACAGCTTCAGCCTGCACATCTGTAGGTAACCTGTAATTTTTTGTTGCCTAAATCAGTTACCAAATTCATTAACAAGGTTTTAATAAGAAAAAACAGATACAGTATTGTATGCTTCATGAAATGCCATACACATAACAAAGAATGAAATGAGTATGTAACGTTAACAAAAGTATGAGCAGAAAATTTATCTGCAATAATATTCATAATAGTAACAATATGATTAAATTCAAACATACATATTTATGTTAAGTAGTCAATCTATAGAAAGACCACACATTTAAAACAAATAATTACAATAAGACTGCAGATGGAATTAATATAAAGATCTAAGTAATCTTGTCTTTAAAATATAAAAAAGTTAAATCTAGATCCAAACAGCTGAAATACTGACAAAAAAGTTATTCTACTGATGTACTATACCAGATATCAATAGTTGTTAACACAGAAATGTTCACCTGCCTATGCAATAAATCAGGTAATGATTTGTATCATGATGCTTTTATATTATTGTGTACTGTTTAGAAACATGTACAGCGGGAAGAGACTCCAGTGTACTGTTTAGAAACATGTACAGCGGGAAGAGACTCCAGTGTACTGTTTAGAAACATGTACAGCGGGAAGAGACTCCAGTGTACTGTTTAGAAACATGTACAGCGGGAAGAGATTCCAGTGTACTGTTTAGAAATATGTACAACAGGACTTTATGAAGTATGTAGGCATATATTCTAAACTGTTACTAATGTACCTTAAACTATTTAAAATGATACAAATCTTAGAAGCAACTGCATTACTTACGTCCATTCCATCTCTTCCACAGCTTTGCCAATTTCTGGCAAAACACCCATTTCTAAAAAAAAACAAAACAGGGAAAATGTAATAAATAACCGATCATAACCAAAGCCAGGCAAGATTCAACTATAGATTCTCTCAATAAAACTGAAATCTCTTACTTTATCATTTGCACCCTTTTCTCAGTTTAACAAATCCTACAAGTCTGTTTTCATGTCATCTCATGATTATTATGCCAAGCTATATGTAATTAGTATATAATGTAACTTAATTGACAGAAAATTGCCAAAAACTAGAGTATTACAAAAATTATTAATAAGTGAACAGAATACTAAGAAATAATAAGATAACTAACTTGTAAAATAATGTGATAGTATAGATAGTAGTAATATTTTAATATTTGTTTTTAACTTTTAAAACATTTTAGTTGAAGCCAAATTTTTTTTGTTTTGTTTTGCTTCATTGGACATTTTTTTTTTAGTTTTCTTATACATGTACTATCTACATTTACTGGTGATTTTTGTCTTCTGAACACAGTGCTATCATCCAAACTCGATAAAACGTGGTATAATCCAGTGCCTAAACAAGAGAGCAGAAAACATTTGCGATAACACATCCATTGAAACAGAATGCCAAAACATCATACAGTGTTTTAAACAGAATGGTTACACCTCTTCCTTCATCAAGAACTCCCTGAAAAAGACCACAACAGTACCACTACCACTACAACTAAAAATGTCAGTGAACAACTCAAACGAAAAGCTAAGAAATTCAACATAGACGTCCGATGGAAATCTTACAAAACACTAAGATACATTCTGGTGAAGAACAAACAAAAAAAACATCATTTGTGAAATGCCGTGTTCCTGCAACAAAACATACATTGGAGAAATGGGAAGAAGACTCGTGACAAGAATAAAGGAACATAAAGACAGCACAAGACTCATGTAAACACAAAATTCAGCCATTGCTGAACATACCATGTCAACTGGACACAACATAAACTGGGAAAAAGCTAGAATCATTGACACAGACAAATTTTGGAAGACAAGAACAATTAAAGAATCGTTTTACATTAACACAATAAAACCTATACTAAACAAAATATAGGCAAAACTAAGTCAATAAGAGGCCAAAATCATTGCAAAATGTAAAACAAATTACTTAGATCACAATATCCAAGATATAAAGAAGCTAAATCTAAGTTTCAATTGGACAGCAACTGCCTGTTGTAGAAACCTACAAATGTAGACGACGACATTTCGAAAGTCTTCCGCTCTTCGTCTTCGGGTCAGTGTGTGTAGTGTAGTTTGGTGTTTATAGTGCTTTAGTGGATTATGGAGAGCATGTTACGATTGGTTGGTTAAAACACTTTTCTGATTGGAGGAGAGACTTCCTGTAGCCTCAACCAGTGGTAGCCACAGTTGACTCACCTCTAATCCTGAATCTCTATTCAGTATTTCTTTAATTAGTGTATAAATATTATTCCAACTAAAAAATTTCAAATACTAGTTATGTGACCATTATTCTTTAAGATGTCCTGTTTGTTATACTTTGTAATGTCAATTTATATTCAAAATTTAAAAGGAAGGCGAGAAACCATATTCATTAACCCTTTCACTGAGCAATTAATTTTTAGGACAATTTCCCAAATGTGTCAGTTATCCAACAAAAGACAATTATGAATTTGACCTTTTGTATTACACATTCAATATTGAAAGAAACTGTATTTTCTATATCTGACAGTAATATTCCTTGATATACACTTCAATAAAATCAAATTTCTGACATACAGACACCTATAATCTTCTACTAAAACTTGTAGTTGAACAGAGATAAAAAACGGTTTTGTTTAAATTCACTTAAAGCAACTCAAGGGTCATCTGTCCATAATTTTGAAGTGATAGAATAGGGGGAAGGCACCTATCCAATATTACCAACTGCCAACTCTTGAACTGCTCTGTAACAAAAAATAGTGGGATTAACTTCCACGCTATAATACTTTCATGGTAGAAAGGTCATGCACATTTAGTGATAGGTTTCAATCCTGTGACCTGCACATTGCAATTTGAGTGCCCTAACACAAATGCAACAGTCAAACTTACTTAATTATTGTTTTAAAAAAATTGTAAACAAGTTTCACCTTAATTTGGCATAAGCCTACTGTCTACAGCACAGTCACACGCCACATAACCTAACACTATAATCAGTCTTTACCTAATTAAAATACCATATATTATAATATAGTAGTACTTCTGAGAAAATTCACATCATATAAAACACATTCTTAGTCTTGTTACTGCTGTATAAGATAGTTGTACTGTAGCCCCTCACTGAAAGATATTTTAATATTATATCGTTTTGTTTTAAACCACGGGTATTCACGTTATCCTATTAGTATTACATTTCAAAAAGTGGAACATGTTATCATCTAATCATCTGCACTACAGTTTGTACGGTCTAATAACCGTCTAATGGTCTATGACTTATTAATTTACTTTCTAATTCTATGCAATTAAGTTAAATCTTAACTGACGAAAAATATTTATATCAAAATTGAATCCACATATTTGTGTCTTTAACATTTCTAAACAATAATAATTAGTTTTTTCAATTAGCATTTTCCCTCAAATTTGCAACTTAAACTCGTCTAGGCCTATCGGCGTCGCATAGTATTACTATAGCTAGTAGATTTGCACTACTGCAAAGTGCAATCAGAGTTAAAATTAAATGCTGTTCTGCAGTAGCACTAATGAAAAAAAATCTAAATAAACTGCAAAACATAAAGCACATTCTCTGGATTTGTTAATTTTAAATACATATTTAAAATTCCTCATCATAATTTACCTTCAAAAGCTGTCATTTTTGGGCGATAACCTTAATACTCACGCACTCCTATTAAACCTCGTCCTAGACTTATAAATGATCCAATACACTAACTAGAACTTCAACGCTGCAACATCTTTTAGTGTTACTGATTCAACTTATGCGCAAATATTTCGAACATCTACTGTAAAAATAAGATAACTCTTTTTATGCTATTAGAGGTGCCTTTTTCACAAGAGTTTATTTTTCTAGAAATATTATTTCTGAATTTTCAAACGATAAAAAACGTTAGTCACCGTATTGATTTATTTTACTCAGCCCATTCTAGTAGTTTCTAAACTTTCTAAAATAAAAAAATGTATATTATTAAAATATGCAAAAGTTCAAGGTGATACACAAGTCTTAAATAATGAAGTGATTGTTATTACTCCGTTGTAATGTATTATATCGTTGGGTATTTATTATAATTCAGTAAAAGCAGTGTTTTATGTGGGGCGGGATCCAATCCCACTCCTTTTCAGAAAGGTCTGAAATCATTTCGCTACTTTTTAGTAGACTGTAAGCTCCTCAGAAAAGTTCAATAGATAATGCTATAGATATTTACCGCAATAAAGGACTGGTGAGAGAAACTATATATCTTCCTTTCCTAAAGTGTTGTGTAAAAGCGAGGCAGGAATGAAACAAAGTTATACGTAGATGGAGAGAACGAACTCTCACGGGCTCTGTCAGCATTGCCGAGTTCGTAGCCACAAAGTAACCAATAGAGTTCACATACTACAACTCGTAACAGTATACATCTATCTATACTAAATTTTATTGTTTTAGTGCCCTTTGAACTTTGTATAACTAATAATCTGTCGGTGAACTTGCAACTTATCTTACCATATCGAATTACATAAAACTGAAGGTGCCTGCGACTATACCTAGTGACGAATTTTTATTATTATCATTTTTCATTATCTTACCTAATTTAACTTTCCGATTTTTACATTTTAGTTATTTTTATAATTATATATAAAGAATACCAATGAAAAACCAGAAATATAGTACTCAGTTTAAGAAATATCCCAAACTATCTATTCCTCTTCTTCCCCCGTCACACCGAACATGCTCGCATATTCAGCCATAAGGGAGTTATAACGTGACGGTCAGTCCCACTATTCATTGATAAAAAAAGTAGCCCAAGAGTTGGCGGTGGGTGGTGTTGACTAGCTGCCTTCTCTCTAGTCTATTACTGCTAAAATAGGGACGGATAGCTCAAATAGCCCTTTTGTAGCTTTGCACGAAATTCAAACCTAACTAAACTTTTCCTCCACTTCAAGCACTGAGTAAAAGTAGTAGAAAAGACAGTAGGTTGGATGGCTGTTTCAGAAGAAACTACATTAGGCTATCTGTTGTGTCTACAGCGGGGAATCGAATCATGTAAATTTGTAAACTTACTTCTGCCACACTGGAGGACACTAAGGATAGTCCATGTAACAATAAAGAATTAATTTATTTCTTTTATACATTTTTCTACAGTTTTGTTCAATTTGACGCAAATTGTAGGCATAAGTTCACAAGCAAAATTTCAAACATCAGCTTTGAAACTACTGCAGGCCGAATATACGAAAAAGTATTTTTATTGGTTTACTCTTCCAACATCCCTGATATGCAAATGGAATGACTATTTATCAAGCACAAAGCTACACAATGTGCTATCTGTGCTCTGCCCACCACGGGTATCGAAACCCGGATTCTAGCGTTGTAAGTCCGCAGATATACCGCTGTGCCACTGGGGGGCTTATTATGAAATATCGGAGAAAGACGTTTTTTCTTGGGGGGGAGGGGGTCTTTCGTGAAGCTCTTTCATGGTGGAATTTGATTCCTATACCTTGCGGGCATGATGGAATACAAGTAGGTTAAATTTTCCAAACAAATGTACATTGTCTAAAATGCTTCGTAAGCCAGTTATTTCAGTTAATCGGTTTCGAAAAAATTTCTGTGTTTTATTTCATAGAGAAACAATATCACATGTTTCATAATAAAAATTCGTGTTATTTAGAGTATATTGTTTAGTAAACAACTATTCCGACGACATTTACAGTTGGAATGAAGTTTTTAGATCATTCCGGTCGCTGTTTGATACCGAATAATATTAATTATTACAGTAGATAAAATTTTAGGTAACAAAGTTTTAGTTCTGAAGTAGGGACCACCTGAAGTTCACGTGGAGTCACATGTGTGATAAAACTGAACGATTATCTGACTCCAAACATGTGGTTGTTGTTATGGCTACGTGACATTTTCCCCTCATATTTAATTACAACAGTATCCAGTTTCGCCAGATGTATGATATTTTACTCTGTAAAGCAACCGTATAATTATACTATTCAAATAGTAAAAGCATCCACTAGGTAGGTCTCATTGCTGTAGAGATCAGGAGATTATCAACATATGTGTTTTTAGATGAAATACGTTTATCATCAAAAGAGCGGCAGCATACGTGAACAACATTATACAGATGAAAGTAAACATTGATAGGAATATTTTATCATAAAACACTTAATACCTTAAGGTATTTTTATAAACAAAAATGATGTTTTCTCTCATTTTAATAAATTCAGGAATTCCGCAGGTTTTGTAAAAAAAATATTTCAGAATTCGTTTTATTTATTATTTGTTCTTCAATAAAAATTATTTTAGTGTCAGTTTCCTTATTAATCCGGTAGCTTGTACTATTATACATATAGAGGGCGCTCAGTAGAGGGCATACCTCGGCCTTGCAGCGTTATCATATTCGGCTCTCAAAAAATACGAAAATATGTCCGTCGTTATCAACATACACTGAGGTATAGATATAAAATAGTGTGAACATTTTGTTAACATGTTAACAAATAGGGATTTTTTTTTGGATTTTTATGATCTAGCTTTGACCTTAACTTGGATCTGGACTCTCCAAAAACTAAGCACTTCTAAGTTCGGTCATGGTCCAAATGTATATCAACTTTTGTCCAAATCTATTCAACCGAGAAATCTTGCTGACAAACACACACACAGGGGTGAAAACATAACCTCAGAACACAGAAAGCCCATTGTGCAGTTTTCTGCTTAACTACAAAGAAACGAACTGTCCACCTCTGGTGGCGGAAATAATTATATCAAAGTAAAAGTAATCAACTTAATAAATATGATTTTCGGATGCCATCCTATCGTGTATAAATAAAATAGTTTAAAACTAGATCACAATGTATTAAGAATACTATATACAAAATAGACAATAGTTATTTTTGAGTTCAAGTTAAGATTAGTTGAACAATGTGAACAATTTTAAAAATCTTAAAGCAAGCTCTTATCATTCATATACCTTTCAAGGGTCAGATATAATAGACTGTTTAGTATAGGTAGTATCAATTAATTTATTTTGGGAGTTAATATTTCATGTTTGTTTAGTTTATATATATATGATAAGAGAGTTTAAAGCAGACGATTATTGGAAGTTGTGTTTGTAAGTTATTTATGTCGAGGCTACGGAAATTTCTAGAATGCCTCAGCGACGGCCAGACGAGAGACTAGAGAGCGGAAGAGAGCCAAAAATAAAGCAGAGTGAAAGAGAGTTTCGGTCAGAGAAAGGTTAGAAAATGTCAAGTTAACCATTGTAGGAGTGTTTAGCTTAATGGTTGATATGTTAAAGTGAGAATAACAGTTTTCTGATATTTTAAGATAATAGTTTGTCTCGACAAATGGTGTTCTAAAGCAACTGAATCTGCCTGTGTAGATTTGACAAAAAGCAGACGATAATTTGGAAGTAGACGTTTATTGGAAGTAAACCTAAATACAAAAAAAGTATGGGGAGTAAGTCTTCTTAGGATAAAAATCCTGCTATATTATATTATATAACACAGGTGAAGTATAGTAAGTATGAGGAGTAAGTCTTCTAAGGATAAAAATCCTGCTATATTATATTATATAACACAGGTGAAGTATAGTAAGTATGAGGAGTAAGTCTTCTTAGGATATAAACAATACTATATTAAGTTATGTAACACAGCAACTACAATCAAAATGCTTCAATCACAGAATAATCAAATATATTGGCCATACTGAACGATTAAATAGAAAAATAAATCGAAACTTGAATAAAATACAAGAAAATGAATATGCTGTATTTAAAGTTCTCGATAAAAAAATCAATGGTTTAGTTGTTTGCCTTTTTTAAGAAACATTATTTAAAATAGATGAAATGTTAGTGTTCATGAAATACGATACACCATCCAATCACAAAGCTACGATCCTCTACGATATCCAATTACAAAGCTACGATCCTCTACGATACCAAGTCACATAGCTACGACCTTCTACGATACCCAATCACAAAGCTATGATCCTCTGTAGGATCAGCCATAAGTTTACGGTCTTACAAAACTGAAGTCCAAGGTTTGATTCCACATCATGGACAGAGTTCACATAAAACATTGTGTAGCTCTGCACTTCGACACCAACTACAACACAAAAGAATATTCTATGATCAATAGTTGTCCATAGAACTAATATTAATTATATAACAGGTTATCCTTTGTATTACTCTCTTGCATAAGCACCATCTGGTGCTAATTTTGAGAAACTTCTCAAGCAAAAATGATAAATATATCAAACCTTTTAAAGTGCTGCATTTGATAAGGAAAAGGATGAGTTATTCCTGTTAGTCAGTAAAGAAACGGTAATTTGTATTTAAAGGTAACTTTACAACTTTAGTTAGTCATGATATCCAATAAAATATCAGTAATTCATAGTAAAAGTTAATATTATCCTAACAACGTCAGTTATTCTTCTTATTTAATAAAAGAGCGGTATTTTCTGTTTAAAGTTAGTATTATCCTAACAACGTCAGTTATTTAATAAACGAGCGGTAGTTTCTGTTTAAAGTTAGTATTATCCTAACAACGTCAGTTATTTAATAAACGAACGGTAGTTTCTGTTTAAAGTTATTATCGAACAGGATAATAATCAAAATATCATTGATATTCATAAGCGACGTTCTGGAACGCCAGATAAATACTGTTTTACCTTTCTCCGAGTTAAAAACTCATGTTTGATTTGTTCAAATTACTTCTAAATGTGATATCACCTCATGGTTGTCTAGGAGTGAGATTATTTTCTGTGTTACCAACTTCCACACGTTTGGGTTCATCCCACTATAATTTGTCAACAAATAAGAAGACGTTACAAAAATCTGATATATGAAGGATTTTGATTTTACAGAAGTAGACCACGCCCTCAAACAGACGTTCTCAACAACTGTGGCTCCGCCTACAGAAAGGTATAGGTTTATCATTTCAACAACTATATAAAGAGACCTGAGTTCAGAAGGTTACCAAGGTATAAGGAGCTGACGGAAACTCCTACAGGAAGAATAATGATCTTAGTGAAGATGGGGAAGATGATGCGTAAAGTCGTAACTTTATGTGTAGGTATACTCCTGAAAGTTTGTACATTTATGAAATATTGTACCACAGGTTGAGAACTACCGGAGAAAAACATTGTAGTGGCATATTGATATAATATTTTTATTTTATTTTAGTAAATAGAATAAGAAACATTTATTTAGTTCTATCTTTAACAAATTGTAATATAATTTAAAAAAAATTCTCCGGTTTGAGATCAGTCACTAGACAATAATTTATATTGTTAGTTAATTTTTTCTTTAAAACAATGACAAATTGAAATATAATTCACTAACGTTGTTAGTGGTACTTGTTACGTATTAGAATTTCAAATGGTCTGAAATTAAGTTAAATGATACTTTAAATTCTACTTTGGATTTAGCAGTTAAGTAAAAGCCGATATAGAGTCAGTTTAATGAT